GGCTTTACTTATCGCCTTTACAAGTTGTAGTGTGATGCTAAGACTGACAAGGTTTACCGACGATGCCGACGAAACGTTTGGGAATGTACCACGTCCACGGTCCGACTCTTGGAAATTATCATGCATACTATAAACTCCGGGCTAGGTGCGCTACTTTAGGTCTACCTACAAAAATGACCAAGTTGCAAAAACAGTATCATGATTGTTACTAAAAGCCTAAGCAAAGATCATTGAATCCACAATTTGTTCAGAATAAGAGGATAGAATTTGTATTGGGGATTTAAACTTTGGGGAATAAGAAGACCTCAATCCTTTGAAAGAGGCAGCAAATATTGCCGATGAAAGTAATCATTCAGCTAGCACATTCTGTTACCAGCATCGAAGACAAGCGCACACACGAATTTGAGACAACCATGGAGAAAATGCCAAAACTATTACAAGTAATGCAATTAACATTACAAACGAATCCTTTCCCCTCGATTTCAAGAATAATATCGCCCCTAAGGTACTGTCGCCCAAATAAAACCGCTTGTGAAGTACTATATTTCCCCAAATCCCAACTGGCTGAACACATGGTTAATACATGACACGAAATAGAATGATCGATGCAGATATTTCTGTAGGCTATGGAGACTTCACAAGAAGCATTAGATTAGGGAATTTATTAAAATAAGCAGCCTACATTTTCATTAGGAGTAATGAATGTAAGATAGTAAGCAAGAGCCAATGGTGGCTATTGAATTGACTTAAGGAGATACATGAAGAAGGGGTAGATGAAGAACGGCTGAGTAACAGGAAACTTGAATATGACTTCCATACTTCACATGGCTTGGATTTACATGCATACAATACTGCGTAAAAAGCTGCAGAATAATGGGTTTGATTATTTAGACGAGGAAACAGCCACCCATAAATTCAATTTCTTTCATGCATTAACTTCGTCGATATACAAGAACGTGTTCTAGACATGAAATAGCCAACCAAACTATAAGATGCCTCATCAGGATCGCAAAATTAGGTATAAAAAGTGAGTGTGATTGCACTAGACCACCCTTATTTTCTTGGCTTAATGTATTTTGTGTGATTTTTCCTAAAGTATGCTTTCTCGCCCTGATGATATCAATCACATTATAGATGAAGGCTTGACACGGGTTGATCGGAGTCGCAGAACAGTAGGTCGAGTACTTTTCCCAATAGAAAAGACTTCGCGACAATCCTCCCTCACTTTCTAGTAGGGCCATTTTGGAAACTTCTTCCAACAAACTTTTTCTTCTAAACGCACAATAAATAAGAAATACAATGATTGATTTACAATCATTAACGATTAGATATCATACAAGCTTAACTGCAAGCTGATGTGACGTAAATGCGAAAAATGGGGAAGTTAGATTCAAGTTGATGCCATTTAAGCGTAACTTACGTAAGAGTGAGAAGTCAAAAACAAATAAATTGAAAAGAAAAATTATCCATACAGTGAAATATGTTAGAAAAGAGAACAAAATAATACGGATATGGTCACTCACTGGTTGGGGGGGAATCTTGGAACCATGGCGAATCTCTTCCAGAATGGCGTCTGCTCCTAGCGAGAGCAGACGCTTCGCTAACCGCTGTCCTAAACGTTGAGCGCAGACCATGCGAAGGCGGCCAGTAGAGCATATCGGGCGGATGCAGAAACCAAGAATCACAGTATCGGGGTCGAGAGCCAATTTAAGGTCCTTAATAGGAAAAAAAAGGGTGGATAAAGATGGTTAATTAATGAAGTGCATTAAAGCCTACATTTCATAGACGAAAGTTAATCGTAAATAGGGTAAAATGAAAATAAGTTAAGTTTACTAAAAAATTTTGAATAAAAAAACGTAACAAAAAATTAACCCAAACAAAAAATTATTCAACTTATGCAAGATCGATGAATAATTTATGAGTGTAATCATAATGAAGAAAACTAAGATGTTGTGGCCTCTACGCTGTTTAAGAGTGATCTGACCTCATTTTTGCAACCTAGCCCTGTTGTCAGGGCGATCTAGTAGGACACACCTAATCCAAAGTCCCCTGTTACAGTATTTATGATAGTTCTCAGGGCTGGGCCGTGGACATGAAACATCACAAGACGTTTCACCAACATCATCAGTAAACTCGGAACAAAGAAGGATATGGCAAGACTCTGAAACGATGTCGACGCGACGTCTGGGAATGTACCAAGTCCATGGTCTAACGCTAGGAATTATGACAAATAATATAGCAAAGAAGTCCGGACAAGGTGCTTTTAACTAAGCTCCCCTGGCAACACGATCAAATTGCGGAAACGAGGTCAGATAACTTGTATAACAGTGCATGCTGATAATCATTATCCAGTTTCCAGCTAAGCGGATATCAATATCCACTCTCGTAGACAAAATTGATTAAGGTCTTCGTGCCTAAAATGGAGATCAAAGGTTCTATTATCATAATTTCTCTTATTACTAATTAAACGGACCTTTTCATTAAACTATACGATAATAAGTTGTATTGCATAAGCTTAGAAACTACCAATACAGTTCTGATACGATAATTAATTTTATAAATAATTACACATTTCCATTTCCCGTCAAAATTTAGTCTAATTAAATTTCAAAATATATGAACTTTATGTCAATTTTGATTATTAACATTAGTTAATTCAGAAGTTTTTTGACCTTGTTTTCGCAACTTGGTCATATTGGTAGGAGGACTTAGAGAAACTCACCGAGTCCGGAGTCCATTTTATGCATGATCATTTCCAAAGTCGGATCGTGGACGTGGTACTTTTCCACGTTGGGATTCCTGACTAGGTGTGTTCCTCTAAGCCTTCCTACCAATATGACTAAGTTGGGAAAGCAAGGTCAAACAACTTCTATACAACGAAAGGAGTCTGCGACCACACAAAAGGACACACCATCATGGTCTTCACACCTTCGATTAGTTAATTTAGCTATGTAAAGATTTAAATATAAGCAGTTTAGCTTTGAAATGCCAACTGTCTATATTGATTAATTTACGCAGGTGGCATGACGATATGGATAAAGCATATGTAATTAAGTTGAGCTAATGGAGTATAAATGATAAAATATAGCACATTTAAGTCCTTGAAAATTTGTATGATCTGATAAAACATCGAGTTCCAATTGAACAGCCTGCAACAAATGTTTGAAAATACACTTTTCTTTACTTACTTCTGACTCGGGTTGTTCAATTTGTAATTTTTGAGAGAGTCGCGTTGCCGCACTGGAAATATCACACGAGGAACTTTCTCGCCTTTTTCTTTTAATAGGAAAAGTAAATTCATCATAGGGCTGAGGAATAGGGCTCGGACTTTCGGTAATCCACATGTTGCCTCGAGGAAAAGCTAAAATAGAGTCATCTTGCCAGGAATCTTGTGGGAGCAAGCCTAAACTTGAAGTTGAGTGAGAACGGACTCTGGGTAAGTGGCGAACAGTAACGCTGGTAATGGCTCCAGACAACCCACGTTTAAGTTGCCTTTGTTTAATTTGATTGATGTTAGAATTACGATTGGCGATGTCAAAGGCTTCATCTTCGACAATGATAGTGTAGATGAGAAAATAAGAAATCAAAAACATTGATATATATATATTAAAAGAGAAGTGTTATTTTTCGTTCAGAATACAGGTAAATCTACCCTTGTGAGAGAATTTTTCCCTGTTTCATAACGGGATATAAAAGGGGCTAATAGTAGAAAAGAGCAAAATAGCAGTTAAGCGGAATAGCTAGGGGTCAGAGAAGACAAGATACCTGATTTCGGCTTAATCACTTTTTCGCCTTTAAAAGACGACCTTTGATTGTACTTCAGCAAAAAGGTGTCTGGAGGTATACTAGGTAAGTTAGATACCATCTGATCGAATACACACCTTGTACCGTCAAGGTTAAGGACAGCGCCTTCCAGCTTCAAAAAATGAGGATGAATGAATCCATTTGGATCCAAATAAGACCGCACTCCAATTGGTGTCGAACATCCGCCGTCGAGCCCGCGCATTAAAGCCCGCTCTGCAATAACGCCAAGTGCCGCAGCTTCGTTATGAATTGTAGAGAGCAAGCGGAGAGAGTCATTATCATCATATCGACATTCACAAGTCAGAGCTCCTTGGCCAACTGCATAGAGCATGTCTTCCAGTATCTTAAAGTTTATTTTTTACATTTGAAAATGGAAAAACATATCAAACTCCATAGATGTAAAAAGAAAGTACTGTAGTTACCTCATCTATCCTATCTTCCCAGCCAAGTCTCTCAATTCCAGCCTTAGCTAATACAAGTGCGTCGTACCGAGTATCATTAGACTGTAACGAATGGGCATTGTCGGTGTTTCCGTCGAGTTTTGAAAGACGGGTTACCAAGTTCCCTCGAATAGATGCGAAATTGAGATCAGGAAATTTTTGAGAGAGTAGAGACACCCGCCTTAGTGAACCAGTTCCAACGACAGAACCTTTGGGAAGAGTTGACAACTTCTCACCGCGGTTTGATGGAGACATAAGAACGACATCACAAGGTGACAATCGTTCACAAACACAGCCAAGAACAAGGCCGGCGGGTAAAGAAGTAGGTACATCTTTCAAGGAATGGACAACAAAGTCAACTTCATGGGATAAGAGCGCACTTTCAAGCTCCTTAGTAAACAAACTTTTTTCGCCTATTTTTGACAATGCAACATCCAATATTTTATCCCCTATAGTTTTTATTTTGATTAATTTAAAATTTGCATTTGGATTCTTGGCTTTAAGAAGGTCAACAACTATGGAAGTCTGAACAACAGCGAGCTGGCTAGCCCGCGTACCAACCTTATACGTGTGGGTAGAGGCGTGCATGTACCCAAAGGCTTATGCCGCAAAGCGGTCAAAACTCGCGCCAAAAGCGAACACGTGTAAAGAATGTTTTGCAAATATAACGCAAAATATATTACTCTAAAAAATTCAAAAGTACAAATCTCAAATTTTTATTTATATTAAAAGCATTATTGAAGGCTTTAAAAAAGACTATATCTCCATTACCAAATCATGTATTCCCGCCCTTGCTATTCCGGAGTACTTTCAAAATTAGTTACGACAGGCATGTAATTCCTGCTTCCTCTCGTGTTTAAGGCGCTATGGGGCTAGTATATTTTGCGCATTTTTATTCATACACATTGTTGATTACATTTATAATACAGAAGGCTCACTCGTTTTCCCCGGGTACTTTCGAAGTGCTGAGTGCCTCAAACGCCTCCCCTCCAAGCAATTACCTTAGCCTACTCCAGCTTGCTTGCCCGAAAAATTTTTTTATGTGTGAAGAACTGCCTGTTTATTGTCTAGATTGTATTCTTAATACCTCTTGTGCTTATGGCTCTATGATTCCTGTTGAATGCCGCCCAAAGCCCGGTGTTGCTTGCCTAACGAGCCAAAAAAATAGAACAGAAGGCCCCCCACCAGATGAATATTTTATTTTTAAAAATATTAAACTGATTAAAACGATGGTTTGCAGATACTGTCATCAACTTCCTTTGCGAGAAATTGCCTGCCACCAGCGCGGTAACTGTCGCCAAACTGGAGTTGCACGGAGTCATTACGAAACGTTTTGCTGGGCATCCCCCGACGTAATCTGCTTGGGAAAACGAGTTTTCCGCCGCATGCTATTGTGTAATTGGACGTCTGGGAAAAAATACAGCATCGCCCTTGCCTTGAGTCTTTTCCTCGGAGGCTTTGGAGCTGACCGATTTTATCTTGGAATGTGGCGCGAAGGCCTGGGAAAACTGTTTAGCTTCGGTGGTCTAGGAGTCTGGAGTGTGGTAGACTTTATCCTTATTGCTGTTGGTTATCTCAAACCTCGGGATGATGCGGTCTATTGGTAAAATGTTTTCACTGCACCTCTGCTGACAACGCTTTATTGCAATATCCTTGCTCCTACGCCCGTTGATGAACCAGGAAGATGTTTCCCTCAATGTACATTGCTTAAC